AGGCTTGTAAAAGGAGGCTCGAGCCAAATAGTTCTGCTGACTCTCTATAAGAGGGCCCGAAAATAAATTATGCCATATATCCCATTAATATATTTTTATTCCAAATAGCTATAAATTGATGTTAATACCGATAAAAATAGATACGAATGACATCATCTACCGTATGTATAAATAAAATAATACTAAAAAAATAATAAAGCGTTAATTCTCAAAAATTTAAAAATCAATTGCTAATGCCTTAAACAACAATCAAAAATATTTTTTTATAGAATAAATTATATTTAATTCTATAAATTTTCGTTGTTTTACTATTTCAGTATCATATATGAACAATAAAGAATAAAACAAAAGTTTTGAATTTAAATATTGATTATATTTTCATTACATTTTTTCCTCATCTTCAAATTTTCTTTTTTAAAAAAAGTAGAAAACAAATGTACAAAAATCAATTTTCTAAAATAAATAAATACATTTTAAAATTATTTCCTTTTAATATTTAACCTTCTGTTTACAATTTACAAATGTTTAAATATAGATAAATTTTAATTATATAAATTTTCATTCTCAAACGTAATTAAATTAACGATAACTTAATGAGAAAAATATCTGATTTAGTTAATTTAATATTTCTCTAGTGAATAAAATATATTTGCCTTTTTTTCCTGTAAAAAAATAATAATGTTTATTCTTGTTATTTTATGTAAAAAATATTTCAAATCATTAAACTTTTTTATATAAATAAATATAAAATACTTATAAAAGTTCAGTAAATCCAATATAATCAATTTTAAAAATTTATAAATTAAAATCAAATAAAAATGCACCAAAATACTTTTTTATTATGATTAAATTTAATTATAAAATTTAAATATTCTATAAATTTTAAGGAAGTGTATTGATTTATTATAAAATTTAAATGTATTAAAAATAAAATATACCCGGGTAATTTTAAAAATTTAATATAACACATATAACAACTTTTATATTATTACTTATTTAGGAAGATTTTTATTTGTTATATTTTTATTTTACCTTTTAAAGATTAAATTTTGACTAACAATAAAATGTTTTAAAATACCTTTTTATATGGTAATTTTTTAAAAAACTTTCTAAATTATTGTGCAAAGTGTTAGTATTGTATATATTATATTAATATATCAAAAATCTTGTTCAAATAAATTAAATTAGCATAGAATATAATAAGATGCAAATATATTTTTACACGTATTATAAGTTATTTATTTACTTATTATTATTGCACAAAACTAAAATAAAAAATTTAGTTAATGCAATAAAGAATATATTTGTTTCTTTTTTATATTTTAAAATAAAATATATTTTAATTAGCTATCATGATAATTTAAAGCATTAAATACGTATAATATAAAAGATATTTATAGTTAATTAAAATTATAAAACGTTTTTAATAATTAATTTCTATTATTTGTGCTTTAAAAATTTTAAATGTTTAATTTTTAATAAAATTTAGAAAATAAAAATAATTTATGAGAAATTATTTATTTATTTTAAGTTCTGTAGTTAATTGAGTTGTTTGAAAATTCAAAAATGGAAAATAATTGCATGATACTTAAATATAAATGCGTTTTAAAAATATGTTTTCAGGCCAATTTAACCATTATGTGAAACAGCTTAAAAAACATTTTCTCTTTTAGAAAATGTATTGAGAATTTTTAGTTGTTTGTCATGGATAAAGAATATAATTTATTTTCGTCTATTAAAATAAAGTTATAAATTTTAGTACTAATTTTAGTAAAATACTAAAAATTATCATCATAACAGGTTTATAATGAATACTAATTGCATTGTATTATAAATTTTCACGTTTAATAGTATATTATTCAACTAATTTTAGATTATAAAAAAAATTAACAATTATTTTTATAGCTCGTGCGTTTAAATTTTAATTATCTGTAAAGTAAATTAATTAAGATAAAGTATTCCCTTTAAAATTTCAATAATTTTTAATAAAACATTAAACTAAATTCAAATAAAAATAATTTAATTTTAAAAATAAATATATTTAAATATTTTATAAGTTAATTTTTATAGATTAATAGAATTTAAATTTTATTTTTCGAAATTTTATTTAAAAGAAAGCATTCAAGTTTTTAATACGATGTATTAAACTATTTAATATTGTTTCCTTGATTTCTCAGTTGTGTCTGGGATAAGTGCCACAAATGCTAAATTAAATCACAGTGATAATTATTTTAACTTTTTAAAAGAGGAAAGAGACGTTTAGGACATCGTATATATTAGAAAGTTTATTTTTAAATATCTTATATAGTTTCAAAGTTTTATAACCCGTTAAAACATTTTTAAAGTTAAAAATATGCAAATATTGCTGTCAGTCTTGTTAATTAACCACTTGTCGAAGATTGTTTTTCTCCTCCCCTTTTTTAAATCCTTTCACAATGTAAAGGTACATTTAAAAAGTATTGTTTACAGAATTCGGTGATCCAAAACATCTCTAGTATAGTTTTGTCAATATAATTGATCTGGAACATTATTAGATATAGTTCAGTTACTCCTTAAGTCTTGAGTATCCTATCAATTTATTACTGAGTATTCATGCTTAAAGAAGATAAATATCTTCGTCTTAAAGTCTTTGGAAGACATATAAAGCTTAGATGGTATCTAAATTTTCTCCCTCCATACAATTTTATTAGGTTAAAATGTTTTATTTTTACTCTACTCTAAACAGAACATATTTATTTAGATTTTACAGTAATTTTTATTAATTAGTGAAGTAAATTAATTAGAGCATTTAAATTTTTACACCAGTACTATAAACTTATGTTTATTTTTTAAATTTATAAATAAAAATAATTAATGTAAAATTAAAAATATTTCATATTAATTTTATTAAATATCTTAGTTGTTTCAACAATAAATTATGTCTATGAGAAACAATAGTGTTTCTGGGTTATATATATAATACGACTACATTTTTCGATTCCTCTGCTTTTGTTCTATTGTATATAGTATTGCTTTGTTCCCTTCTTTCGGTAACATACTGTAAAATTTACTTTGGATAGTAAAAAATATGAGAACAATTTGTTGACGGATTACGCATTTTTAAATAAAAAAATATTATTTAAACGTAATGTTAAAACGTTTAAGTAATTTTTACTGCTAAATTGAACATATAAAAGATAGAATTAAAAGGATATTAAACTCAAATGCGACCCAAGCTTATATTTACGCTCATCCCAAATGTTCTAATGACGCTTCCTAGTGAATACGTCATTATATCCAGTAATCTGGATCGTTATCGGTACCTTTGACGACTGACTCAACATTTTTGTTACACGATATGTAAACAGAGCCGGTTTAAGTAATGGAAACAAAGAAGAAGCCGCCTAAAACTAGTCATTATTAAAAGATCCAACTTTCCTTTATACAATAATTTGTTGTATAGTAATTTCAATTTTTCACGCATAAAATATAAACTAAATACCACGATATTTAGACGAAATAGCCTTGTAAATACTTAAGTTTCGCGAACAATAAAATAGTAAAATTTGACCTCAAAATAGCCCTCTCCCGTTTAAGACTAGTTACTTGAAACGAAAGAACTCTAGCTTAAGGAAAAATGCAATTTAAAAGAAAGTAAATCCTGTTTAAAATATTTTAGAAATCTTCTCTTTTGTTGATTACTTTCTAGTTTTATATAAATTATTAGTAATTATATTAAATTAGTTGTTCACAAATAAAATTTTAGTTAACTGCACAAATTGGTATAGCTTCTAAGCTTGCTTGTAAATTATTAAAGAACGTTTTAGCCAATCAATAGATAAATATTGCATCGTGTCTCAGAAAACTGCTTCCAGAAAAATGAAATTAATTCAAAATAAATGTAACAGAAAATAGTTTTTGTGTAACTAAAAAAAATTCATCTTAAGCTACAGTTAAACATATTTCACTCGTTTATTTTTTGATTTAATCGATAAATATTGAAAGGTGTATATTTTGGCCCCCCATGACCTCCTTTCTAGAGATACGGATTCTTCAATATTTCCACGAAAACCTTCGCTTTAATATTCAAACTCTAATAAAATAAACTTTTTTTTATTTTTATTTTTTAATGTAGATTTTTATAAATATTTAATGAATTTTTGAATAAATTTTTTTGTGTGTTTTTTTAATCTTTTCAATAGAATAAAAGTTTTATTTTTATAAAATTAATTTTTTTTATTTAATTTCAAATTAAATTTAAAACGAATTATAAGCTGTCAGCATTGTCTTTTAAAACTTTAAGTACAGTTCATAAACGTCGATGCAAAGTTAAATATGATAAAAATCCTTAATGTTATATAAAGTAATATCTTATCATTAAAAATTCATTTCACGTCTGTTATATACTCACATTCTCAAATAAATAAATAATATAAAGTGACAAATTTATGACATATTTTATAAGATAGACTATTTTAAATGACTCGCCTGATACCCAACTCCACTCACACACGTAACTCTTATAATAATAAATATATAAATTACAAAAATATTGTTCGTTAAAAAAAATTAAATATAGATTCAAATAATGCATTAAAGTTTATAAATAATTTAAAAATTAATAATTTAAAAAACAATTTTTAATAATAATGCGGTCCTTTATAATAACGCATTACGTAAAACAGCGTGCAGTATATAAAGTTTTATAAAGTCATAAATACTAAAAAAAATTTAAATGCAATTAAAAAAACTAGTTTAAAATTTAGTTTTATAAATGTTAAAAATATTACTTATAAAAATAAATTTTAAAAAATTATATAAACATGAAAATTTTGCTAATTGTGAAGTGTAATAACAGTGTATTGTTTTTTGTTTTCTTTTTTAATGCATAAAAATACACGTTTTGTAATATTAAACTTTTAAAATAATAACTAAGCTAATTCGTTGTAATTATTTAAGAAATAAAATTAAAATAAATTAAAGCGAAGTTTTTATTATTAAAAGTCATTTTCGTCCTCTAGATATTTTAACTCACACAAATAGGAATAAGAGAACATCCACCTCTGATTCCGACCAATCAGCAAATAGGCGTTAGAGGACTGCAGTAATGACGTCACTTCCTCGGATCAATGTGGTGAAAAATACTTTATTGTGTTTATGTAGTCGGCTGCAATCGTCGTCTGGGTAAGAATTCGCTGGTTTTTTTAACGCGTAAAATCGATATATATTTAACGAAATAAGCGGATTTACGAAAGATTAAGCTATGTATGGATAATAGTAAATTATTTGTATTTTTAAGCTAAGAGCGAATATGATAAATTCGTATGCGTCAGCTTGGTTCTTTGTGTGGCCACTCCTAGACGAACGCTTCTTGTGACGTCGGATCTTCTGCTCAGTTTTTGGCGGGATGCACGAGCTATGACGTCGATCGGGTTGCTCGGATGATAAAATCGTCGTTTGTCTCCACCAATGTTATATTTCTTCTTTTGCATTTTAAAAAAGGATGGTTAAAAAAATAATGCCATTCGTCAACTAACAAGTTAGTGCATGTCGTACAAGCAGACGATCTTTTATGTAGTTACGATAATGCACCGTGTCCATTTCCTCTACCACTCTCTAAACTATTATTGATTGTTTTGTTATCATGGCACCAGCATTGACAGAGACGAACCAGGAGGACAACTTTAAGTTGCCCCATTCACCCAATTCTACCTCCATCATTAACCCAGCTCTCACTCAAAATAATGGTGATCGCTACACGTGCAACATTCCTTTCGAGATAAATCCTAAATATCATCTTTCCGATATGTGCATAGGTAAGTCTGATGCCGAATTAAACAGCTTTATAAGTGCCAAGGAGATCCTGCGGCTTAATGGTGATTCTGTGTTGAACGGGTGTAACGATGGTTCCAATTACAATGGCGAGAACCTGGAGAGTGAATACAAGTTTTCGAGAAAACAGAGTCAGGGAAAGAGTACTTCGGACGTCTGCGAGCTCTCAAAACTGGTGATGCAAAAGCTGGCGCACGCTAATGTGCCCGCGTATCATTCTAAAAACACGCATTGTCCTGACGGCGATAAGAAAGTGGCCGACTTTGCTCCAAAAATAAATGGAGAAGTTGTCGAAGACACGGACTTAAAGAGAAATGTCAAGACTGAACAACCGTGTGCATTAGAAGAAAAGATAAAGTGGGATAACGCCACTAAAAAATTAGAAAAATTACAGGATAATACTCTGAGATTAATGAGGCAGATTCGTTGTTTGCAAATGCAAAACGTTGCGTTACATGTGAGTAACGAAATAGGTTCTTTTGTTTCATATGGCAGGACCAAACTGGATAAGTATCAAGAAGGTTACAGGAAAATGAAAATGATGCAAAAACCTACATACTCGTCTAACAAATTTGTTAATCAAGTATCATCCGTTGCATTATCTCAAATGAAGAAAAAAGTGCATTATATGAAAGAAAAACACGGAATTCTTTTTCAGACATCGCCGCCGATAGAACCGATTTCGAATGATACTGCCGATGTTAGCAATGGAAAAATTGATCCCGGTGACTGTGTGGAAATAAATCAGACAGTTGGTACACTTCTTTTCAATTTGAAACATCTTGAATCAGGTATAGATTCGGATGCTACCGAAAGCTCTTCGGGCGGGGAAAGTTGTGACGAATACGAGGATATCGATGACAGAAGAAAAAATTATCAAGTGCCAATGTAAGTAGTTAAAATTTCTAACTGTTATTGATTTAAAATATGATCATTTCAGTAAAGATAAGAATAAAAATGTCATACTTTTTATATGATTAAAGATCATAAAATTTATTGATTTTGCCATGAATAAAATAGCATTTTTTTCCATTGAATTTTAAATTGTAAAAGAAAGTTTTTTGAAAAATTTTGTTTTTATATATTATGAAAAATGCATTTTAATAATTCATTTGATTTATTTTTCAAGCTTTACTGCAGTAAATTTCACTTTTGCATTAGGAAATTTTTTTATTTTTAAATTGTTTTACAATTTAAATAAAAAAAACTTGTCTTTCTTTTTTTTTAAACTTAACAGTGAGAAAATAATTCTGATTAATAATTTATGAGATTATTTAATAACTGTCTCAATTTTCGTTTAATTAAAAGAGAAGATATTTTGGATAAGTACAAATAATATAATATAATATATTATTTTAAGAATTAATGATTATCAAGATTAAAATAATTAAGGTAAATTATAAACCTATTATAATCATCATTACTGAATTAATTTTTATTTAATCAATAAATTTAAAATTAGTATTTAATTTTATTGGTTTTTTCTTTTTTAAAGTTTAGATATATATTTTAATAAATATGTTTTTAATCACTTAACTTTTAAAATAACTACTTTGAATAATTTTTTATTTGAAAAATAAAAAGTAATTTAAATATTTAAGTTTTTTTTTAACTCTAACAATAAAATTTATATGTCAAAATTTAAAATTTAAAAATAATTTTTATATATAAATAGAATTCTATAAAAATATTTTTATAAATCTCAAAATTTTATGTTTAAAAAAATATTTTTATCAAAAAATCCTATTATGAATTATGAAGGTATATCATTTCATTTTATATATTTTATATCTATATCTCAATGTATAAAATGCAATACTTCTATATTTGTATGGATTATATTATTACCAATTTCTTTAGCTCATGACCTGTAAAAATCTTTTTACTAAAATGTGCTTTAATTTATGTGATTTTTTTTTTTTATCTGTTATATCCTTATTATGAAGAGATTTTGATTTTATTATTGTTAAAATAAAAATTTATGTATAATTTTATTAAAATTTTAAAATGTGACATAATTTTTTTATTTTGTATTACTTAAACATTTACTTAAGACTTCATTTATAATGTGCAAAATCAATTGCTATATAAAGTTCAGTTGTGTTTTCAATTTCTGATTTTTTCATCATTGAAATATATTGTAAACCAAGTTTCTTTTAAAAGATTTGAGCAAAGTGGCATAAATTAATTTTTAAATTATGAAGCTTTTTTTTTAAAAAAAAAAGTTTGAAAAGGTGTATTGAGTAAGACACAACAAATACTCTGATTATATATAAAATTAATTAAGATAATTATATATACATGTATAATTAAATATAAAAAGTAGTAGTATGTTTAGATATTACCAAAACTTATGCAAAAATATAATTTTTTGATAATTCTTTATTTTAATATTTGCTCTAGTAATCTGATTTTTATTTACCTTGTGTTTTATTATAATTTTCTTTTTTCTCATTGGCAGACTATGCTTTCCATTCATCAACTACAGGTAGTAGTTTTAATTTGAAATTGGTTGTAATGTTTTTTTTTTTTTTTTTTTTTTTTAAATTATTGAATTTACTTAAATCTATAGTGTGATTATATTATTTCTATGAATCACAATTCTGTAAATTCTAAAAATAAAACAAAGTGCAAATGAAAGATTTTTATAAAAATTTTTTTTCAAGTTTTTCTCATTTTTAGTTCATTAAATAACGATTAAATAAATGTTGAAGGACTTTTTATAAAAAAGATTCTTTTGAATTATACAATATGTAGAAGAATTTAAATATTCCATCCAATTTAAATTAAAAATTAATATTGTAAAAAAATTATTTATTATAAATATATAGAAAAGTTTTAATTAATTTGAAAGAATATTGAAAATTACAAATATATAACAAAATGTTGTCTTGATATCTTCAACAAACATCTTAGAAACATAAAATACATGTAGCAACAGAGAAATTTTTTATTGTAATTACATACTTCTCTTATTTGCACAGTATTAAATTTGGGATTGATTTGTTATACTTCTCCTATTTCATAATTTCCTGTCTTTGTTGCTAATTTACATAATTAAAAGCAGTCAACTTGGTATTGAATTTCACAAGTAATGAATTTCTGAAGTTTTTAAATATGTTAATATTTATGTAAAATAATAAAGTTTTTAATTATTTATAGGTTTTCCAAATCAACTATTATGTCATTCATGTATATAAAAAGAATATTGTAAAGCTGATTGAGAGTTATAGCCAATTATAGTTACCTTCAGTATTTTGTATATATGTATAGTATTTTGATTATAAATTATTGAGAACTTTGTTTGTTAATTAGTGTTTGTTTTCTTTTACATTCTTTTTCTTAATATAAATAAATGATAAATGACACTTGTTGATTTTTTTAAAAATAAAATTATTTTATAAAATAATTTAATAGTACTTAATTGCTTATAATGATAAGTGCAATACTGGCAGTTTAACTGAGTTTTAGAAAGTTTGATTTAATTTACTGAAATTCAGAATAATATCTATTTAGTAATTTTATTATATCATATTGATTTGACAAATTTGACCTTTCAGCAATTTCAAACTCCTGATTCAGATCTTAACAAACTATCATAATCTATTTTTAAATTATAAAATGCTTTTATAATTTATTCATTGATAATTTCTTTCAAAAAATAATTTCATTGTAAATAAGAACTGTTTGAGTCTCTAAAAAAATTTTAATTTGAAAATGTTATCAAATCTTTTAGTTTAACTTTAGCGAGATTGAATAAACTTCATTATTTTATAAAAGAAAAGAATAAAGAAATAACTGTTTTTAATATGAGAGTTTATAGCTAGAGTTGAATTGAGTAATTTGAAATTTTTTTTTATGTTTAATAAAAAAAACTTTATTTCATTTAGTGTTGAAATTTATAAGAATTTCTAATGCCAATAATAATAATAATATTTTGGTAATTTTTTTCAAAAATAGTTTGCTTCAAATGAACTAAGCAATTATGTAAATTCATTTCTAGAAGTGTAAAAAAATATATGGAAAGTAAAGAAATGAAAGAAAAATTTATGAAAATTGAGTTACAGTAATATCCTGAACTTACGCAATAGGTGGGACTGAGCGATAACCACGTAAGTCAAATTTGTGTAATTTGGGGTATAATTTTTCATATAAATACATACAAATAATTTTTAATTGGGGCTGGAGACTAAAGAAAACAATAATTTAGAAAAAAATGTTTAATAAAATCTTAGATAACACATATGTATAACAAATTATATTATTATACAATTTTTCACATTTACTTGATTATCATACCATAATTTTAATGTTGTTTCCATCTCAGCAATAATACCGTGACATTTACGAATGATGCTTGAATTTAAAGATTGAGCATTTTTCACAGCTTCGAGAATTTTTCTTTACCTTTTATAATTGTTCTGACCGTCAATTCCGGTAGATCAAACTTCTTTGCCAATTCACAAATTTTCATTTTTAAGTCTTTAATAATGTTAGCTTTACATTCCAAAGATAAAGTTTTTCTTTTCTTATTTGATGCAGAAGAATCAGTTCTACTTCGTTTGGATGACATAGTAGAGTCTATCAAGTCTCCATAGATATAACAAACACAGAAATAAATAACAAAATAAATTGTAGCTATATGTCAATTCCGCGCGACACATCAGAACACGTAAGCTGAACAATAGTGTGGGGGGGAATGAGTAATCAAGAGTTGAGCTGCGCTCAAACAAAAGACTAATCGACAAGATTTGAAAATCATGTAACTCTGGGTTCGTGTAAGTTGAGGTATTACTGTACTTTGAAAGGTATCTGAATTTTTTTTTATTGAATGAACATACACTATATGTGGAATTTATTATAAATATACAGTAAAAGTTCACTAATTCAGAATCTGATATTTCAGACTACTGTTTTGCATTGTGTATTTTTTAAAATAATGAATTTATCAATTCTAATCTGGACTTTAACAACTATTGCTTTATTCTTGGACAGTTGTGTCCAATTTCTTTTCTAATTTTCAATTCCTTGATCACAAGGAATAGTTAGAAAAGAAATTGCAAACAAAAATTAAATTTTTTTTTTAAAGCCCACATTAATAGATGTTGGTAGTAAGAACGATGCTACTGCTATGTTTGCATTGTAAATGTTTATTAAACCACTTTATTTTTGTATTTAAAGTGCATAATAAAATTTGACTTTAAATAAAGCATACTTTTCAAATCATATAATACACATTTAAGTAAAAACCTCATTAATTCAAACTTTCACTAATTTGGACTAGGCTTTTTCCCATTTAGTCTGAAATACTGAGTTTTTGCTGTTATTGACATTTAACTTCCTGTCAGTTATCTAAAGGTAAAACTTCAATTGTTTGAAAACAAACAGCTAAGGAAATTCAACTTAATATTAGATTTTTCATTATAATAGATCATCATCATACATCTAAAATTAAAGGACAGCATTGCTGAGCATATTCCAACCATCTCAGCTGATCCATATTTCATGTAACTTTTTATTCACTGTAGTTTCAAATCTAACTTCCTATCATTTCTTGACACTGCTATTTCATAAAAGGTTGAATATAGGTAGCAATTACTAAATTGATTATTGATCATTATACATAACAGAATTTTTTGGTATGAGAAGATTAATGTTTTGATATTTGTAGAATGTCAAACTGTGATTATGTTGAACTTTCAATTTTTTTTTTTTTTGTCACGACTTAATTTTTTTATATACTACTTATTTCTTTGGAAATAAAAATTTTTTGTATCATTGTATTTAAGCCATTATATATATTACTTGTTTACGTTATCAGATTTATTGAAAATTATTAAAAACAAAATACTAAATTACATTGCTAAATTTGGAAAAAAGATTTTTAA